GCCAACAAATATCCATAATGGAGTTATATTTGGATTTAAGTAACAAATGTAGGCATTAAAAGTATATTCTTAACATATGATAGTTTGGAATTGCATATCTAGAAGTGTCGATACATTAAAACCAATCAATACACCTATTTATAAATGACACCAACAGAAACGGAGATTTTTGTAAGATTGTGTATTAAGCATTAAGAAACAAGAAAATCCCGCTTCTTTCCTTGAAATGTGTTTATTTAAAATAAATATTCTTGGAATTGTTTGTAGGAACAGAATAGAATTGATTTGGGTCACGTGAATCATGAAATCTTTTTACATTATTCAGTGTAATGTGTCTAAAATTACATTTAACAGGATACTTGTGGGTTTTCTTCAATAATCAACAGTTTTTCTTGAGGTCTTGTCATACATAAAGATACAAGGAGATATCCATTTAACTGCTGGTTGGTATCATAATTTCATGACAGAATTTTGTCACATTCCAGTAGTGCTAAGCAAACAACTTAAGTTTAATAACAGGAGAAAAAAGGAAAAAAAAAAAAAAGATAGATAGAAACCAAACTGACAAACTTCAACTGGGTGAGGTTTTTTGATTTCATGTCACAAGTTTCTCATATACTTTGTTAAATGTGATTAGGGTTCAAAAGTGATTGTTGGCTTCACATTCTCTAACAGTTTCTTTACAATTCTCTACATTCATAGAAATATTGCTAAATGTAAGCGGTAACTTTATTATATATTACAAATGAAGTGAGTGAGAGATTTCTATCTAAATCTGAAAATGGGGTGGATTAGAATTAAATAGGAAATTAAGTACCATAAAATCTATAGTTAACTTAAGCATTATTTTTTTTTTAAATATAAAAATTCATCTATTGCCAGGCTTAAGAACCACTCATGATAGAGAGGCTGTTAAAATGGTAATGATGAAGGTGTGTGATATGATTTGAAGAGGTGATAGAAAGTGAAGATTATAATTATTCAAGAATTTTTTTTTAAAATTCCAACATGAATTTTTTAAAGAGTTATAGTTATCAGTAGAAAAAGCCTTCAAGTCAGAAGAGCCCTTACTATAAGAGCATCTACAAGTTCTTCCAAAATTAATCTTCAACAAAAAAAAAAATAGTATTCTTGTACCAGACTAAGTTGAGTAAAATATTAACAAAGCCATCTAAGCATAATGACAAAACTTGAAGTGTATTCAAAAATTCTTGTCAGAAGAGATTCACAAAATTGGGTTGGCTGAATTATAAAACCATTTACATTCTATATACATGGTGAAACCAAAACCAACTGAAATAGAAAGGAATACATAGCATTAACCATCTAATAATAATAACACTGAACCTTTATTATAGTCTATTATAGCACTGATGAATATATTGTAGCAAGGTGAAGAAGATCCAATTTATAGCATTTGGAATCATTGACAGTAATTTGGGAAAAATTTAACTTAAAAAAAAAAATCTTTTTCTTCTGGCACCATATATACTCCCAGAGTAATTTTTATTGTTTTTAAAAAAAAAAAAAAAAAAAAAAAATTTTTTTACAATTTTAATAGAACCAGATCAAACAGATTTTTATTTTTTCATATAACTACCTCAGATTACTTTTCCAAGGTGAGGGTTTGCTGTTCAGTTTCCTATGTTACAGTTTTATTAACATTCTCAAAATAACTTTTTAAGACTAAAAAAATTACCAGAGTATATGGCAATGGCAGAAATCAAGAGTGGTGGAGAGAAAAAAGAAAAAAAAAAAAAAAAAAAAAAGAAAGAAAAAAAAGATCCTTTTGACACTCCCCCTTTCGTTTTTCTCTTTCCAAGAGTTATCCCTGTCACTTTTCTCTTTTTGGAGAGGCAGTTTGGTATTGGTAAGGCTTTATCATGGTAATTGACCCTTTCAATCTAAAAAAAAAAAAAAACCTCAAAATTAAGAAATTGCTCCTTATCTCTGAAATAAAAGTAAAATATTGTTTCATTTCTAATCTGTTATCAGGCGACATTGGAAACAGCTTATGAAATTAAATATTTGAATGTGAGACCAATTTTGTTAATATGAAAAATCCTTAGCCTGACCAAGAAATCCTTTCCCTAAAAATTTGCCTGGTTAGATTTGGGGAAATGGGTTGAGACAAGAGCTTTTCAGCACACACTCAAAAATATACCATATATACTTGCACATAAGCCAACTTCATGTATAGTGTAACACCATGATTTTTTGGCAAGAATTTTAACCCCTCGTCACCAAAATGCATAATTTATGATTTTTAACCTCTTCAAAAAAACTGTGTATTGTGTGAACCCCTATTTTTCATGTAACAAAAAAAAAAAAAAAAAAATAGTCAGAAAAACTCACACAATTCTCAAGTATATATGGTACTTTAAGTTAATGTGCTTTTTTTGTTTTTGTTTCTTTTATTATTAAGAGACATTGAGCAAAAGTGTTAAAACAATAGCAAGTGTCTAGTTTTGATGTGAGAAAGAAATGGTCAGTTTCATTTCCACAAGTTTACAGTTAGGGAATCTGAATTTGATTAGAGTCTAACACCCTACTAAAATGATTCAAATTTCAAGCAAATTTTAACATCTTATACTTTTGAGTAAATATTATCTTGATGATGAAGGAATCAAAGTAAATACTGATTTTATGATCAGAAATCATTGCTTTCGAATATTGTAACGATAAAATGCACATGTTGCTCCCAGTCATGAGTGGATGAGCAGAAAAAGAGATGAACAAATATTTGTTCATGCACTCTGATATTTTTGTTTAAATAAAAACTATTTCAGCAGAGAAGGAGAGAAAAGCAAACATCAAAGACAAAGAAGATCCACACCCACATCAGTCAATTAATTTACATTAAAATCAGCTGCTCTTGAAATTGGCTAACTACATTTACATATTAAGAGACATGCATGTACATACATTGATAAAAATGATCAACACATTTGAATCAGCTGTTAAAATTTTCAGAAAGTTATCATATAACTAGAGTATTGATAACCTGGTTTAGGATCCAGCTTTCTCCACAAGTGGTGGCAGTGGTGGCTATATATATATATATATATTTATGAATAAAAATGACAATAGGAAAACTGGTAATTGCTGATGCGTTTCGTCCAATGTGGACTTTATCAAAGCAAAATATGAAAATCATTTTTTATTCATAAATATTGTCTTCTCTACTGGTTAAACTGGAGAAATTTTCATATTATATTATATATATATGTATATATATATATGTTTTTTTTAAATATATTATCATCGCAACATCGAATTTCTCATGTTTCAAAACTAAAAGTTCAATTTCAGAAATTGAAATTTCAGGGAATATCATTGTTGTGGTGATAATATATTTTTAAAAAAACAAAAAACAAATATCATGCTCTACTATTGTATCGAGCACTGTTTTTAAAAATAAAAATAAATACTAAGAACTTTGACTTATAAATCTCATTGTTCTTTCATATTATATATATATATATATATATATATATATATATATATATATATATATATATATATATTCAGTGGATGTACATACATTGTTAATTTGCAAAATAAGTTTCCATGTTTGGATATGTGATTATCTGAAGTATGAGCTACTCAAGATTGTTTTCAGCATTCAAACAGGATTTATTCATATTAAAGAGGATATTGTAGCCAAAGATCCCACATAAAAAAAAGCTAGTAAAAGAATACCAGTTTTTCTCTTGTAAATTTGTCCTGACTTAAAGAAAAAGAAAACACATTAGCAATAAGAATAGTAAAATGAGGTTAATTTTTTTGTCTTTTCACTGAATAAATGATTTAATATGGAAATTTTTGGGCTTATTTACAAAAACAAGAATTCAGAAACAAAATGAGAAAAAGAAAATACAAAAGTTTTTTTTTGTTGTTTTTTTTTTTTTTTTATAGGATACTTCACCTTCACCATCATTTTTATTTATATAGTGTATGTGTGTGTGTTATAATTTATATTTGATTCTTCCCCAATCAATATTTTTTTTTTTAATTAAGATAATACCAACCAAGCAGTACCGAGAAATATGAACAGGTATTTTTCCCCTAATTAGATAAATATGTAAACATAAAGAAAAAAAAAAAAAAAAAACATTTCAAACTTTAAAAAAAAGAGAGAGCAACTAATATTAAGAGAAGGCAACAAGCAAATAACAAAGATAGGCAATTGGGCGGAAAGAGCATGAACAAGGAATTAAGGGTGTCAACTTGGGATAAAATAAAGCTAATAAATGAACAAAATAAAAATAGCCCAGAATTAGCCTTTAGATTTGAAGACCCCCCCTCGCCTCGCAAAGACCCAAGGGAAATAACCGCCGTGAAGGAAAAAAAATAAAAAAATAAAAAAAAATAAATAAAAAGCAATCGACTAGATTCATTGTTTCTTTTTTTTTTCTTTTTTTTCTTCCCAGAGAACTTATGAATAAATGCAATGGTTGAATTAAACTAAAGTAAGGCTGGGGAATGTGATAGAGAGAATGTTAAACTGGAGTGAGGAAAAAAAGAGAAAAAATTGAAAAGATGGAAAATAAACAGAAATAAAAATGGAAAAAATACCGAGAGCCTGAATGTATCATTATCCAGTTCTATAAAAAAGGTTCTGTATAAATTATTCCAATACATTTTTGGTATGTATTTAAATTGCATTTTAAACATTTGTATTTCGCTTATTTTCTGTCAACTTGTCCCTTTTTTTTTTTTTTTTCTGAGTAGACATCCAAGGTGGAGGAGGGAGAAGAAAAAAAAAAAAAAAAAAAGTTGAAAAATATTTCTCTTGATGTTTTTGTTTTTTCCCCATGTTAGTGCCATTCCTTCCCAGATCCACCTAATCTTGGTTTGGTCTCACAATTTTGGGGGAGGAGGGCCCTGATAAATCGTGCATTATGAAACCGTGTAACAAGACTTTCGGGGTTTTTTTTGTCTTTTTTTCCATTTTTTTTTTTTATTCTTTTTTTTTTTTTTTTACATTATTGACATGCTCATAGTTCATCTCTCACTATTGTGTAACGGCTCCTGGATGGTTTTAATTTTTTAAATGTAGATTCTGGTGGACTAGTTGGCTGTTTGTCATTACTCTGTGGAATGTTAGCTTGGTCTGAGCTGGCCTGAAAAGACAAGAGAAATTTTCCATTTAAACATTAAAATATTTTAATACCGAAAGAAAACATGTACATAAATTAGAACTTTTTTCTTTTGAACTAGAGAAAGCTGCCAAGTCCTAAATAAGTCCATATATATTTTGCTATGTTCCAGTTTAATATCAAGTTAACTTATAAAATGAATGCATAAGAAAATACTTGTAAAAAAAAATTAAGAGAATTTAATGTGAAGATTAGAACTGATCAAATATATTGATAATATAAATTGTCTATGGCCAGGGTGAACAAGTGGTATAAATATAAACGATAATACATGCCAGTTTGAACAGGTTAAACACTCAGTACACAAAAGAAAAAAATATAAATTCAAAATTCAATTTTGTTTTATATGCATAAAAGAAAAGAGTTTTTAAAGGAAATGTTTGCAAAATTATCTTATTTTGTTAAAGAAAAAAAAAAATAATCATCTAGCAAGATAGAGAAAAAAAAAAAAAATCATCTAGCAAGATAGAGAAAAAAAAAAATAATCATCTAGCAAGATAGAGAAAAAAAAAAATAATCATCTAGCAAGATAGAGAAAAAAAAAAATAATCATCTAGCAAGATAGAGAAAAAAAAAATAATCATCTAGCAAGATAGAGAAAAAAAAAAATAATCATCTAGCAAGATATAGAAAAAAAAATCATCTAGCAAGATAGAGAAAAAAAAAATCATCTAGCAAGATAGAGAAAAAAAAATAATCATCTAGCAAGATAGAGAAAAAAAAAATAATCATCTAGCAAGATAGAGAAAAAAAAAAATAATCATCTAGCAAGATAGAGAAAAAAAAAGAAAAAAAATCTAGCAAAATACAAAACAAAATTTAATTTTCATTATTAAAAAACTGATTTCATTTATGAAGTTAAAAAAAAAAAAAATATGTACATTCGCTCCCCATGCCTAATTTAATTTTATTCAAGATATTTCATTACCAAGATGTTTGTAATAGGTTTTACATGAACAATTTTGAATCTTTATAGGTATCCTACTGTAAAAACTGAATTACAATTTTAAATGTCATTAATTTTTTTTTCTCAGTTTTATTATAATACTACCTAAATTATTATTTTTTTTATTTTTAAAGTGTGTTGGAGTGGCGGAATTCTGTGAAAAAATTCACATCAATGAAAATATGGATATTACTAATAGAAAACCTGATGAAATATATATAATAATACTGGATAACCAGTTTGCTTGTTATTATATAAGTTGTTTACGGTATCCATAACTTATTGGTATTTTCTCCAAAATCCCAGGGGCAGCAGTTGGATATTCTTTGTCAACGGCAAAAAGCCCTTTTCAGTGATAATTACTTTGAATTGCTTCTTTCGAATAACTGAAGAAAGGTTGTGAGAACTGGAACTGGGGATAACATCCACTTTCCTGGGAATTATTGGATATGTCGGCTCATTTGCTGTAACCCTTTCAAGTCTGATCACACACCACATCACCTGATGTACGAACTTGTCTAACCCTTTAAGGAAAATTCTTGGCCAGGTCATTCTATTTTAGTTTTTACTACTATTCCATCATTTATTTTCTTCCTTTTTCCCTTTCTTCACTTTCATGTTTTAAAAGAAATTTTATTCAAAAATCTATTATTTTTCTTTCTTCCTCTCCCCCTTTCTCCTCCTCCTATTAATCTAGTATATCTGTCTGGATAAATTGTCTGAAGAGGTGAATATAAAAATATTCATAAAATAAATTACAACTGAAATGGACCTTTAAGGTTTTTATATATATATATATATATATATATATATATATGAGCTGAAGTATCCAGTAATTCCCAGGAAAGTGGATGTTATCCCCAGTTCCAGTTCTCACAACCTTTCTTCAGTAATTCGAAAGAAGCAATTCAAAGTAATTATCACTGAAAAGGGCTTTTAGGTGTTGACAGAGAATATCCAACTGCTGCCCATGGGATTTTGGAGAAAATACCAATAAGTTATGGATACCGTAAACAATTTACATAATAACAAGCAAACTGGTTATCCGAAAGTAACAATTCAAAATAAGTAGCCTTGAAAATGAAGATCAATTTGCAATCACTGAGGAGGTTGCTTTTTACAGAGCCGTGATTGATGTTGCAGGTTGTCTTCTCCGTCTAGGATAGATCCAAAGGGAGTTTGAAGCATGAATATGTGACCACCACTTCGCAGAGTTGTAGTTATTCCACTTGACGTCACTTTTAGAGCAATATATTTCTTTTGATGCAGTTTAGCCAAAAGTCGGCTGATGATAAATGTCTTGCCAGTTTTACTTGGGACATCAAGGAAGAATAGATCTCCTCTTTCGCCTTCAATGCTCAAAATAATCGTGTTAGTCCAGTTGGTCCTTGATCAGTTTGTATTCTTTATCGGTCATATACACAGTCATTTCCTCAGTATCATAGCTGATCGCCCCCATATAACCAATTGCAAGATTGTTTGCTGCCCCATTGTTCAGGCTTTGTTTGATCAGAAGGTCCTACATCGCCGAGATGATCTAAGGCATACCAGATTTAATGATAGTTTCCCCTAGAGGATGCAGGTTTGAAGCCTACCGGAGGATGCATATTTTTATAACAAAATTTCTCAAATATTTAGGCCAGTAAATGTAAATAAATATACTGCTTAATAAATAGATAAAAATTGAGCATCTACTCAAATATCAGTAGCCATTTCAAAAATCATGTTTAAACAAATTGAAAAATCTGTCGGATTTAAATCCATTTGGTAAAAATATATATTTTCTACCCAATGCAATACTGCTATGTTTTCAGTTCGGTTTTTTGAAATGAGAGTAAAATTTAAACCACTTATGTACAAACAGAAATATTAACCTGTACAAGAAATCAAAACCCCAATTGTATTTTACAACTCAGAACCTTATGAACAACAAATATCTATTCATATATACAGAATGCTTTTAAAAATGAGAAAATTTTAGTCCAGGATGAAAGAAAAAAAAAAAAAATTAAACTTCTGGCACAGTTAGAAATACACAACATTCAACAAAATTGAAAAATGATGTTTCTGAGCAGAGCAAGAGAGAATTTAAACACTTACATCTGTTGCCTTGGGTGCTTCTGTAGGATCTGGTCCATGATGGAATTCCCGATGGAGTTTACCAGAGTGCAAATCATCAATAAACTGTTTCAATAGACCAGGTTTCCTGAAAGAAGAAAATGGATGAAATAAGATAAAAAATTAATTCATTTTTTTTTTTTAAATTCAAGTTTATTTTTTGGTGTTCAGCCTTGAGGTATAAACTTAAACCAAAGCAAAGTAAATATTTTCTGCATGCAACATCGACAAGCAAAGCCAGAATAATGGAGGGTGGAGACAGAGCAGTTTACTTAACTTTCTTTTTGCATTGCTTATTTCCCAAGAATTAAGCAAGCCATCTGATATTGCTTAACATATATTCAAAAATATTCAAAGTTTATCTTTTGTCCTTTAAAGCTTTAAAACTTATGTGACACACAGAAATAGAGAGCGAGCGCGAGAGAGAATGCGAGAGAGAATGCGAGAGAGAATGCGAGAGAGAATGCGAGAGAGAATGCGAGAAAGCGAGAAAGAGAGAAAGAGCGAGAAAAAGATACTACAAGTCTCACAAAAGTTATCTTGAATGGATAGAGATATTTCATTATTTAAGCAAGTTTCTATAACTGATTAAATCTTGTTTGTATTGGTAAAAATTTGCCTAGCTTTGTCATTGCTGCTAACTGAAAGCAGGGCAGGATAAGATTTCATCTCCATAAACCTTAAAAAGTAGTTTACTAAAGTCTGGATTATCAAGTCAATGCAAAGGATCATTTTGGGTGTTCACTATTTGCCCATGGCTGAAACCCTAATAGGTGCAACGACCCTGGGTTAAGGTGGACCTGAGGACAACAGTAATTAAGAGATGGTTCCACATTCCTCAAAACCTACCAATCAGAGGCCTTGCTGCTGGACATAGTTTATCATCATAACCAGGACAAGCCAGTATTAGTAGAAAATAAAATAAAATCAGATACTAAAATATACAGTTGGCACAAAACTGAAAAGATCTGGTAAAGGAAAAAGTCTGATAGTAAAACTAAGACAAACTTACTCTAAGTTTTCCCGAACTGAATGTGGGAAGAGATACATGTGTCTGAAACTGTCTATGGCCAAAACAGGTAAGTCATTAGTCGTCTTTCCTAAATGATGCAAAGGATGAGTGAATTTCAAGCCATCAGCTGTGAGGAAATTTACATTATCTGAAAAAGAAAATTGGTTTAAAAGATTATATAAACTAATATACAGGATTCAAGAGATTTTAAGTGCTAATCATTAAGAATATGGTTATATAAAAATTAGTTCTCAGTACTAACAATTAAATAGCAGTAAAATTATTAGTAATAATAATAGCTGTAAAGAAATTTTACATTAAGCAAAACAACTAATATAATCTATATAATAAATGTGAATGTCAGTGTGTCACACTTTTTCAACTTTACTCCTAGAGGCCTTAGCCCAACATATAGCTTTCTGGAACTAGGCAGACTATATCGGTTGTTAAATTTAAACGTGAACTCTGGGAAACTTTGCCCACCTTCCCTACAAAACTCTACAAAAGACTTCACAGAATGTGCAAGTAGTTTCATCTTTTAGGTAAACAGCATTTAAGGCAGCAATCACTTTTTCAAATCCATCATCTGCTGCTAATTCTGTAGGATCAATTGAAAAAACAGCTTTCCCTGGCATCACCACATATGCTTAAAGAAACTGCAGGACCAGGTCTAGATTTTTCATCCTTTGTAAATAATCTCCAAATTTCTATATCTGCTTTCAAGTCTGTAAATGAGTTACCACGGCCAGGGTTGAATAACGGTGGTTGCTAGAGAGAAGCCATCCCTACTTATATCACAAACTACACTCTGCTACCAATGTTGAATGAGACTGTCAGGAATTCACCAGGCAAATGAATGTACAGTCACTGGAATAAATACCCTCGGCTTATATTAAGCACTATGGCAGAACCCATTTCAAAGAGCAGGTGAGATAGGCCAATCCAACAACAAAGCATTAGCTTCTATTAACTGATGGTCATGAGTTCAGTTCATGTGCTGGGCAACAAGTAAGTATATAGAATAATAGCAATGACCAAAATGTGAATGTCACAGTTACAAAATTTGAAATAAAATAAAAAATTTTTTTAAAATAAAAAAATTACTAAATTTTATACATAAGAGTTCATTTTATTGCTTTAGTTTTTCTTAAATATATTGATTTGTTTGTGTCCCAACTTCTGAGATGAGGCATTATTATTTACATTTGGACTAATATCCGCCTCTTTGTTGTTACCACAGCATTTTGGCCATTATTCTCTCTGGCCTTCAAGTGTATGTCAATCTGGGAAACTTTTAGGAAATTTTAAAATGCACTTTTTGTTTAATCTGCAAAGGTTCATGTCTAGAGATATCTTGTCTTGCTGTTTATCACAGCACAGTTATTAGACGACCTGTAATCTGAACAACTCAACTCTGGGATTGAACTCACAATTGTTATATCATCAAATTCATAAAGCAACACTAGGCAAGTGCCCAGAGGGTGCATCAGCCAAGATATTGTGGCAATAACTAAGATAAAGACATTAATTCTAATGTCTGAAGAGGTGCATATCCCAAATTTACAAATTGAATACAGAGTACAAATGTGAAAAACGTTTTTTGCTCGCACTGTATAATAAAATTAAAAAAAAAAATTTGATACTCACTTTTTTCTCCTAATAATTGTTTTGATACTTCTGCAGTGAATTTTTCTACAATTTCATGATCATCAGGATTATGGAAAAGAATTAAGAAAGGAAGCCCCTCTTCAGTAAGTTCCTGCAAAAGAAAATAGAGGAAATATTGATTAAAACAAAAATGATATATTTACACTATTCACATTGTTCGGACTGTAGTTGTTATCTTTGTTGTCATATTCACAACATTTTGGTCATTGTATTCTTTGGCCTTCTTCAGGTGATTTGAAAGAGTTTGGTTTGAAATTCCAATCACCTGAAAAAGGCCATTGAATACAATGACCAAAGTGTTGTGAATATGACAACAAGGACAACAGTCTAAATAGTGTAAATAGTTACAATAACACATCTCAAAAATATAGACAGAAAAATGATATATAAGTGAAGAATTTTGTCATGGAATTAAAATAATCCTTTATAAATATAAATTATGCCAGGTAAATGAGAAAAAATATAAAGAAAAAGATCAAACAGAAAACAATTGTACACATGAAACAGAAAAACGGCTTTAAAAACAAAATGTCCTTAAGCTCAAAAAACAGCATAAAAATGACAATTTCCTTAAACAAAGTAGTTCTTGTTTACAATAGCTGTCATATATACGATGACAGCCTTCAAAAAATCCTCGGAATTGTTAGACCACTAATTGATCTCTCTGATAATGCCCCAGACACAAGAGTCCAGGGGTTTCAAATAAAGAGAGCCTAGAATCTACATGCTGAGAGTAAAACCGTTTTGGTCTATTTTGTTTCACGGCATATCAACACCTCAATGGGTTATTTAATGCCGACAACATTTTTAGGATAGATTCGTATGAATAGAATATGTATTCTTTGGTTTAGATTGGTTTGGCTTATTTTGTTTTATGGCATATCAACCTTAATGGGTTATTTAATGCCGACAAAATTTTTTATTGCTGGTAATAATTTTTTCTCAACTAAGTATTACTGGTAATATTTAAGTATTTGTCCATAGCTGGGACCCTAACAGCTGCTACCACCCCAGGTCAGGGTCAACCTGGGAACACCAGCAAATGAGAGGTGGTTCCATGCTCCTCAAAAACTTCTGATCAGAATAAGCAACAAATATAATTCAAAAAATAAGTTTATTCATGTAAGTGTCGATATTTTTTCACTTCTAAATCAGCTAATTTTCTGTGAACAAATTTTCAGTTTTTAAACCTTAAAATAGTGGTAGGAAGATCATCTTATAAAAATGTACATTCCAAAATTGTATATAAAATTATGAGCAGAAAAGAGAAAATAGTTATTTGGTCTTGCTGAATTTAATTATATTTCAATAGAATTATTCAAATTAATGTTTGGATTGACATGAAAAAAAAAAAAAAATTTTTTTTTTTTTTTTTTTACTTCTGCATTTTCAAAAGTTATTTCTCGGACTAGAGGCACACATTTGTCGAAGATCCATTGATGAAGATGATCATAATTTGTAATAGCACCAGTAAAAACTTTTTCCTGACGTCTCGTCTAAAAATAAATGTAACCAAGTTTATTAGTTTCTCTCTATTCAATTGAAGTGATTTAAGAACAACCAGAAAATAAATTTTATTAAATTAAGAAACTGAAAAACAAGCAGGTGCAAAACAAGCAATGGAACATCTAACGGAATATAGGTGCCAACAATCATGGCTCAATATTATCAAGACAAAACAAATAATGGTGATGACAAGCAACTCACATTTGGTGGTCGAAACGCAATGGTGTCCCCACTTGTCCTCTCTGGCTCAGCCACAGCTCTGAAAAATAAACAAACATAGCAAAATCTGTTCGTAACAGTTCAGAAATAAAACTAAAGTGTTGCATAAAAAAGGGTAAATAAATAGAAAGTTTTAACAGCTCTTTGGTCAGCAAGATGCAATAAAAATACTCTCGTAATAACAAAGACTTTCAATAAAATTACAACTGACAGTATACAGAATGTTCCTAAAACCACAACAATTGACAGAAAACACATTTGTGAAATAGCAACCAGGGAAGATTTGCATGACATCTTCCAGAGTTTGACCAATAAAATTTCATAATAATATATTGTCACATACAGAAACAGGATTCTATTTGGTAAATAAATATAAAATTTACAAGTTATTAATGGTAATGCAACTTTTAGAACACAATGTGTATTGCTAAGTTTATTTTTGTATGTATGAAAAGTTATCTCCCTTAGGTCAGATCAAGTAAGGAAATGATAATGATGTGGCAAACAAATTCCAGGTTTTGTAGGTGTAGTAACAATTGGAGTAACCATTAAGTGAATAAATTAATAATAGATTCCTTGTTGCTAACATGTTGCAGATTTCTCAAATGAAAAGAATTCAACTTCAATCTGTTTGTTTTTGTTTTTTTTAACAGGTTACTTTGCAACACAATACTGCAAGCTAGAATATTGGCTGTATTTATTCAGAGTCAACCAACAAGTGGAATTAAAAATTCTGACTGGACCAATCTACTTAATATTTGAATTTCATTTTATACAGAAGAGCTGCTCGACTTAATTGTAATTTTATTCATTTCTTTTTTTTTTTTTTTCTGAACAAGGATTTGGAACTTAAAAGTGTGGCAAAAACTGGTTATGTACCTATCAGAAACAAAAAAAAATTAGTCTAAAAGAAAAAAAGAAGCTGATAGGAAAATACTTACCCAAAAACAGCATAAAATGGACAATCATCTCGCAGCTGACTGGCTACTCGCATGTATGTTTTATAGCTGTCAGAATCCTTGGTGGCAAAATAGCCTATTATATTGCGTTTTTTACTCTGAAACAAAATCAACTGAATTGTAGACATATTTATTTAAATTTTTTTTTTTTTTTTTAAATACTAATAGGAGAGTGAAACTATCAGTTATTCAACATGAACTTGGAGACAACAAATTTTAGAAGTCATAACTGTCTTAATTGTAATTTTCGACAAAGAGAAAACATTTTACAGAATTTTTTTTTTTTTTTTTGAAAAATAAAAAAAAAACATTTCTGTAAAATTATAAGATTATATTTTTATTTTTTAAATTATTATTTTTAAAGATTATTCCTTATGATACAGGCTTTTCTAATTGAATGAAGAAATGTTCTGATATGTTAGTTCCTATACCTTTTGCATTCAGTAGATTCCTATTTCTGGATCATGTTGATTTTAATGTGATGTTTTAAATTGTTTTAAATGGATAGACAGTAAGAGGGGGGAAAAGTACCACTGACAGTGCTAACTCTTTAATGACCAGAAAACCAGTAAAAAAAGTTTAATGTACATTTTACCAAATTAACAATTTCATCAACTTGCATTCATATCCCACCAAAAGAAAACAAAGTCCAGAATCACATTTTATATAAATGTAATATAGCTACCTCAAAAATTTTTTTTTTTTTTTTAAAAGAGCATAGCATAATGAAAAAGGCCCCAAACTTGATAAAAATAAAGTTTTATCGGCAAAATGTTTATATTATAAGAGGAAAGACCAAAGTAATCTTTTGATTATCATCACCTTGTCAAACATGTCAAAACAGGTACAGGGTTAAAAATGTATTTCTGCAATATTTTAAACTTAAAAGTAAATACTATTTGTTTTACTTTAAATCAGCTAATATTCCCAAAATAATCTTTCAGGGCAACTAAAAAAAAAAAAAAAAAAAAAAATCTTTCCATTTAATTTAAATTAGTTTTATAAATACTGCAAAGTATTTTACTTGTTGGAAATATTAAATTTAATCTATTAGTTTGAAATTAAAACTAAAATCAAAAGCTTCAAGAAAGAGGTTATATTTTTAAAAATTCATTTTAAACCTTAGGTATCACGTTTTTTGTAGAGGTCCCTACTGTAATAGATTTATTTTATATAATTGTATGAGATTTTTAAAAAAAACTGGATTCTTATACAGTTTTTCATGGTGTACTCTTTTCATCCTCATCACAAATATATTCATTTGTATCATCCTCCCCTTTTATTTTCATCTGTCAAGACAGAGAAAGGCACAAGATTTGCTTAAAACAGAATTTTTACAGCCATTTTTTTTTTTTTTTTTTTTTTAAGTAAACAGATAAAAAGACCATTTGAAATTTACAATTTTAAATGGAAGAAAAAAAGTTTGTTTCTCCAAATCAGATTAAATTATACTTACATCAAGTTCATCTAAATCATCCAGACTCTTCACTTCTTGGATAGGATCCCGCAGCTGGTCTCTAATATATTCAGATAAGGCATCCACAGACCTCTGGCCACGGTATTCCTTCTTAACCACTTGGCCATTTCGAAACAGCTTTAATGTAGGATATTTACTAATGTGATATGATGAAGATACACTTGCTGAAAATATAGAGATTTTTTGGGGGGGTTGGTTGACTTTTTCATAGTATAAAAAGATCATTAGAACTCAGGATTAAAATTTTAAGTTAAAGAAAAATAACCATAAATTTATAGAAATTTCTTAGAGATGAAAAATTAAAAATATACAGACAAACCTATCATCAACAGACTAATAGGGTGGTCCGTTAAATCTGAGTGTCCATAGATGGGAAGGGATTATTTTTGAGTTATAAAACCACTATAGTAACGATCAGTAGTTATGATCATAATATAAATACTATAAACATGTATATATGGCATAAATAAGTGTATACTTAATATAGATATATTAATCAAAATAACAAAAATAATCAATTTCTCACACCTACTTTCTCATGCACGTGCTAATGTATCATACTTTATATATTGTACACCAGACTTTGTTTACAATTGAAAGGCCAGCCACTACCATCAAGCGGTCACTTTGAGAACTAATACAACTTGTTCTACTAAGCCCGCAAATCTTGACAATTTGGAAGTTTTTTTTCTACATAATTTTTTTTTTTTTTTTTTATTTTGCCTGCAAACTTTGTCTGTTGCATCCAAAGTCCATTGATTGGGGGGGGGGGGTCTGTAGATAAGAGGTTTGTCAGTATCTTAACTTCTGATACAGTATGCACAAAATTTTGTATGTCATGTTGGTTGGTTCTCCCACTTTTGCAAAATAGTTACACACATACATTTTATATAAGAATAAAACAGCAATCAATTCTCAGTGTATTTAAAAAAAAAAATAAAAATACAATTATGTATTACATAAATAATTTAACATGGATTTGCTATGGTATCTTGATATAAAAGATCATTGCTAAAACCCCAATTAAAAAAATGTAATGAGAACTGTCAACATGGATTAAGAGAGAATGCCAAGAGATGGACTACAGGAGACATTAAAAGAACAACAACTGGTGGAAAGTACTTACTCTCTGCATCACAGTCAACTTTTCCAAATGCAATTTTCCCTGGGTGCTAGAAAGGAAAACTAAAGAAGATATTTATTCAAAATAAAAACATTCAGACAGTTTGAAAATGATAAAAGTTTAAATGTTCATAAAGTCACGAATTCTAACAGTATTCACGTTTGAAATGGCTTTCAAGTTTCTTGCTTTTGACTGTTAAGGTGGTCAGAAGGTTGTTTGATAGGAAGTAAAAATGAAGGGAAAAAAATCGGTTTTCAATTAAGAGGACACAATAATCTATCATTTAAATTGCAGATATTTTTCATATTTATTTTAAATTTTGTATATTAATTCATTAAATATTAAGAATTTATACTTATTAAATTAATACAGTCTTTACAATATCCGAAAGAGTAAAATAAATTTAAAAAACATCTGTCTATATTTCTGAGATGAAGTATTGTAACTATTTACATTGTTTGAACTGTTGTCCTCATCTTTGTCATCATATTCAGGTTTCAGTTGTATGCTCCGGTCTTCTTCAGATAAGAAATGTTGGGATTTCAGTTGGAACCCTTTATTTCGTCCACCGGGGTAGATCGTTCTAGTATTATGTGCCATTCCTCTTTTGAATATCTCAGTTTCATTTATTTCCCTTTAGTAACTCAACTCTCTAAGTTTTTGTTCACCTCTACTGTGGCTAGGTATTGAACTCACAACTATTTGGGTCAAGTCACTGAATTATTTCAACCAACAGTGAGCCACATGTCCTTGGGTAACCATTTTTTTTTTTACCAGATCTCAATTTGCAATTTTTTGTTCTTGTTTTTTTGTCTAGCACAATGTATTACTGGTTCAACAGCTAAAATGTGAATATGACAAAGATGAGGACAACAGTCTGAACAATGTAAATAGTGTAAATAAATTTTTTTTAAATTTAAAAACAATTCATTTTCATGTTAAATTGGATTGTCCATTTACAGCCAAACAAATACAATTAAAGACAGGAGTATTCTTTCCATTTTACATCAGATTCATAAAATATCGATTGTAAATTTTGAAAGGAGATGGTTACTAGATTCTTAAAAATCGTTTATACCCAAAGAGGCATTAAAATGGGTTATTTAAATCTAAAGAGCCTTTATATGATTTTATGCCATTCACTTTGTTGGAAGCAAACTCATTAGTAAAGCAGACTTACACTATGCCCAGTCACAAGAGAGTTGTTGAACACATGCACAATTTAAAAAAAAAAAAAACAAAAAAAACCTTAAAACCTACAACATGATTGATAGACTAGCACACTTAACAAAAACTAATAAATTCAGTAACATATGTTGACAATATTTATGATGGCAGTTTCCCCCCACTCCATGTGCTGAAAGTTTCTAGGTTAAATTTCTGAGCAATATACAAAATTTGCATTTCATGTTAGCATTTACAAAATACCACACTTAGAGAAATTTGGAAAGTTTGAAATTGATTTTCTTTTAATAAATTCCGAATCTGCATGTCGTATAAAGGATTTTGGCACAGAAAGTGGAATCAACAAGTTCAAATTCCAGCCTAATCTGTAGAGTTCAATTTTGCACTAACTAGTCTTCTCCCACATATGGGTTAAATAGCAGGCTAGACTAGGCTCCCTATCCTTAGGTTTTAATCAGTCTCAGAGATTAATTTTAAACTATAGAGAAAGCAACAAGAACTCGTTCCACTATACTATCTTTCTCAAGAATGCATGGCAATTCACAGATAATAACAGAATATGTGGAGAGCCATGATTGCCTAATTCTTGAAAAGACACAGCATAAAAAAACAATTTTAAGCAACCAAAAGTTCAGAAGAGTTGTGTATTAAATGAAGTTAAGGACTGAAGATAACATCACAACCAGCAAAAAGATTTAAGAAAGAAAAAAAAAATTATCAAAGCCTGCTGATTAACTTTTAATATAGAATAGAAATTTTACCATTTAAGACACAATGGGTAATTTTGTTGTGCTTTAATTATGGAAGCTGCAGCTAAGGTGTTTAGTCGAGAACAAAAAAAAAAAAATCTGGTCAAATTAGAGGAGATGAGAAAAGTAAATGTCTAAGTGTCAATCATTGTATTTGCTTTTCATTTCAAAGCCAACCTAAGTAACAGTGCGCTGTCATATATGACCACTTAACCCAACCATGTACTATATCCCTCAAGGTTAAGTCTACAATTGAAAGGCTAAGACAAATAGAGACATGCTATTCTAAAGTTAGAATCTAATCCCATTAACAAAATTAACTAGACTACTATTCTGTATTTAGAAGAGATTATTAATTACATTAAGTATATTAAAGGAAAAAATTAAAGGAAAAAAAAAAAGAAAAAGCAAGATTAAAAAAAATTTAAAAATACAATCGGCACATTATTTACATTATTCGGACTAATGTCCTCATCTTTGTCGCCATATTTATTACAACGTTTCAGCCGCTGTACGCTCCAGCCTTCTTCAGGTGGTTGGAATGCTGAACTGAACATTTTATATTGCTCACTGGGGTAGACTGTTCTAGTTCCACGTTTTCATGTTTAATGGATGTCAGTCATCAGTTATCTCCTGTTAATTTCCCTCTCCAAGTTTTTGTTGCTTTATAGTTTAGAATTACATCTCTGAGACTGATTAAAACCTAAGGATAGGGATCCCAGTCTAGCCTGCTATTTAACCCATATGTGGGAGAAGAGATGAGTTAGTGCAAAATTGCAAAAGGTGTTGGTTAGATCCAGTGACAGGACCCAAAGAG